GTTAAGGCAGCAACCACTAATAATTCTCAACATCCAACAGATTTTAAGTGACAGCAGAACCAAAAGGTTGAATTAATAACATTGCCATTTTGTCACCCTAGCTGTACTTCATAATATTCAATATTTGGAAAAGATTTTCTGAACATCCAAGATCATACAGAAAAAGTTTGTGACTCGAAAGGACACATATAGGCAGTAAATTAAAATTTTGATATCAACTTCTAAGGTACAGTATAGCCAAACTCCATTTATCCAAGGGGGTGGGAAAGGTAACCCAGAACCAGAAGTATATGCTGCCTTTATATTGGCTAGATTTCTTGTTTTGGTTTGTAAAATGTCTACATCCTTCAAACTACAGATATTTCCCTATTGCCTTCTCAGCTTTTTTTTTGCAAAAGGTATTTACATATTTTGCTGGTGTTGACAAAACAAAAATGCACAAATCAAAGTGAGTGATGTTTGAGGCTGCAAATAGAACTTTTTCTCCACTCTGGCATCTGGTGTCACTATTAAAAGCTCCCAAGCTACAGTCAGATGTACAGCAATGCTCCTTCCCCTGCACCCAGGTCTAAACCAGAATGTTCTTTTTGCATAATTTTAATTTTCCACACTAGCCACTGATATACTTTTGGTGTGAGAATGTCAGCTTATGTTGACTTTTGCATATGGGCTGATGCTTGCCTGCAATTTCACTCAAGACTCCATACAACAGGGGGGAAAAAAAAAAAATGAGTTTTATATAGGCTGAGGCCCAGCATTACAGAAGAAAGGACAGCATGCTAACCTATTGCCTCAGCCTGTAAAGCCATTAAATAATCTGATGAACTCACTGTCCCCAAATGAATCTTCCATCCTTCTTAATGGATAATCATCGTTGCTGTTAGTTGTTGGCCGAGCTCTCCAATCAGACTCCATCTCCGCATCCCGAATTCTGTCTCGATCTCCTCCCCTGCCTGATTCTCTTTCTGAGTTCAAGTGGAGATAGAAGCCATTGTTAAAATCAAGCACATCAAAATTTCTCAGAATTGTACTTGTATTTACACTCTACATTCAGTAGTCCAGTGAGCCATGAAGTACCAACATTTCTAGGTCAGTCCTTTGTTCACTGGCCAAGATCAAGGGGAAAGTACAATATTATACAGCTAAGTTAGTTATCAATGGGGTACTTGAGCAAGAATGTTCAAAACTTGCATAGTACGATTGTATCCAAATAACTACTTCATAAGACTACTTAACTGGAAAATTTCACATCAACATCTGCTCTGAAGAAATATTGGTGAAACTAGAAGTTACAGCATTAAAGTGCCATCAGAAAGCAATTTTTCTGAGCAATTAAAGTATTTCTACTTTGAAATCTCAGAGTGCTAAGAGAACATATCACAATCAACAAATAAATGAAACTATATATCTCTCCATCTATAGACTGTTCATAGCTCTAAATGCATACTATCAGAATAAGTTTTCATGGATATTTGTAATTTCAATACTAGCTCCAACATGTTTTCGGATGGAACAGAAAATATTTCAGAAGGTCAGTTACCTGTTAAAATATAGAAACTGTACCTTTTTCCTGGGCTTGATCAGCAATATCCACCCTTATTCTTCGGTTTTGCAACATCTAAGTGCAAAAACATCATAGATAGAAAGGTTTCAACATGGGTGCTAAAAACATTTAGGACCATTGTAAAGCATACTAACTGAAATTCCCCACAAACATGGATACTATCAATAATTTTGCAAAACCCAAGAGTTATCATTTGTTGAACCACAATCAACCACATCTTAAGACATGTAGAATGACTCAAAATTAAGCCCTCGTGTCTAAACATGGGGTATCAAGACCCTAACAGTTAACCAAATATTAAAACACAACAAAAGGTATACAAGACAGAGAGGGAGAAAGAGCAAGAAAGAATCTTCTCCAACCCCATGGCACCAAGAAAAAGTAATGAGTTTCATTTATGCAGACATTTGACTCAATGTACCAAATCTTTTAAAACCAGGCAGATTGTGAGAATTAGTTCTACTTAATTCAGGCTAGAGCAACACAAAAAACTAGGAACTAACAAATAGTGAAGCTGGGTGGATAGGGAAGAGAAAGGAAAGAAAAAAAAAGCGATACCAAGATGACAGGAGGAATCGGTCTAGGAAAACCCTGCAGTTCCGGACTTGTTTGCATGCCTCGAGACACATGAAAAGAGTAAGCATTGAGGATGGTTATCAAGATCAACACAGTACTAAGCAGAAACTAGACATAATGGGGAATTTTGGGGAATGGTGTATTCTCTCAATATGCTAGATCAAGGAACATAAAGGAGAAAGGCTTGCGACAATGGAAGAAAACCTGCAGAATCTGGTTCACGTGAGAATGAGTTGAATGAAGGTTATGGGAGAGCTTGAGGATTTACTCTGAAAACATTGATAAAAGTCATCTTGGGATTTTTTTAAAAATTCATTTATGGGATCTAAGCATTGCTGACGGGGACAGCATTTATTGCCCATCTTTAATTGTCCAGCGGCAAGTTAAAAGCCAACCACATTGCTCTGGGTCTAGAGTCACTTGTAGGCCAGACCAGATAAGGTAGCAGATTTATTTCCTAAAAAAAAACACTTTAAATGAACCAGATGAGTTTTTTGGCCCCACAATCGACAACGGTTACATGGCCATCATTGGACTAGATTATTGAATTTAAATTTCATAATCTGCCATGGTGGGGTTCAAACTCATGCCAACACAGCATTAATGTGGGGTTCTAGATTACTGGTCCAATGATATTACCACTATGCCCTGCCTCCCCATAAATCAATTGGAGCCGGACAATTTACTGAGAAACATGACTATGGACAATTTCACAAGCCTACAATAATGGGACATATTCTGGGGTAGGGAAACTACACAGGACAGGCTTCACCTACAGGAAATGATAAGCTGAAGCTTTCGTTAAGACAAGCCATAAGAACCAGATGGACTTCGTGCATTAAAAAACAGCCAGCAAGTCACCTCTTCCTTGCTTCTACTTTTAAGTAATTATTAGAATTGTAGAATTAGAACTAGAATTAGAAAAGTACTGACAAGGATCAATATCAATTTTCAAGAAACAGGCAGAAGGGACAACTCAGGAAAACAAAATTGCACTTCAATAGGTTGAATAATTATTGCCAGTAAAGTCCTGGAAGGTTTCCTGAAACACCAATATAAAATGGACTATGAAGAACAGCCAGCATGGATTTCTTTGGAGCTCTTAATTAAAATAATGGACCTAGCTATCAGTGTAGAATCTGTGGATATGGTGCATTCTGATTTCAGCAAATCTTCTGATACCAAGCTGCACACAAAATTAGTCCACAAAATATGAAGGCATGGGACAGGAGGAAAATTCTGGAGGTAGAATTAAGTTTCTGAAAAAAACATCAAGGGCAATCATGAATGGAGGAATGCCAGGGGGCTAGTGAAAGAAAAAAAAAAGTGTGGTACCACTGTTTATGGTATGGTACGGTACATGCGCGCTGCCCAAAGGCAGCTTTGTCTTATTGTCTGTCTGCTGATTCTGCACCTTCAGCTGCCTTTCTTGACCGCTTTTAACAGTGCCAGTTTGACATTGCACCGAAAGTGAAAGGCAGGGTGAGGAAGCAAGTCCCAAGGCGACTTCAACCAGAATGGGATTTGAACCTGTGCTGTTAGGGTTATTCTGAGCCACATACAAGCCATGCAACCAACTCAGCTAACTGGCTCCCACACCATTGCTTACATACACCAGTCAAAAAAAAAAATTGAAGCTGGCAGTAGAAACAAAGTTGAAGGCTTACAAATGACACCAAGATACTAAAACAATAAGAACTTTTATTAGCACTATCTATATATCAACGACAAACTGGAAAAATACATTTGACATAGAATTTGGACACAATGAGAGTGTTGTGTATTTCTGAATAGCCTCAACTCAAAAACACAGACAGGAAACATGGAAGGTAATTTCTGGAAAACTACAGTCAGAACTTGTTGATGTCATTGTTCAGATTTAGTAAAACTACTGACCCTTAAAATACTACAAAGTGATATTTTAGCCTAGAGAAGTACAGATATAAAAAGGCTGAATACATTTACTATACCTCTTCATTGAGACTCAAAGCATTCATAAGTGATTCCACATCATCAAACTCGGCATAACCAAATCCCTTCAATCTGTCTTGATTGGTGGACTCTCTTGGCAAACGCACTGCACTGATCTTTGGGAGGCCAAAAATAAAAAGCAAAGTGATACATCTCATACATGACTCAAGTTGCAGTTTACCCTGGGCAGAATTTCTTTCAACAAAAACAGTTTATTTCTTCCTCCTCTTTCCTTTGCTGGAATGGATTCTACATGCTAAATTGAATACTGTGCTCATTTACTTACATTCATTCCATGGAAGAACTTTCTGATGGAGTCCTCAGACACATCATAAGGCAAATTGCCCAGAAAAGCTGTGTAGGGTGGCTGCTTTGGAATACGGTTCATATCAACATCCGGTGCTCGAGCAGCACGAGGTGCTGTTGGTAGCAATGCCCGGTTAATAGCAGGCTTATAAATATCCTCTTCAATACCAGGCCAGGCAGTTGAAACTATCAAAAAAAGGAAGAATGAAAACAGTGATTAAATACATGGAAGGTTCTTTTAAAAAATAAAAATGATGGTTTTTGAAGTGGCATTCACACTGTATATCATAATATGGCTATTAAGCAAGAAAGGACCATAATTTATCATTAAAATCAACTGTGGTGAATAGCCTGCTAGGCTCAATGAAGACAAAATGGATTTCAGACTATATTGAATTTTTAACTTGCAGTCAGCAGCAGGTGACGAGTTTAAAGCCCAATCACAAAGGTTGACTATCAAAGGCAAAGCCACAGCTGAGAGATCAGTCAGGCTGATCATGGTAACCTTCACAAGGTGCCAATTTTTAGACACCCTATTTTGTATTCCTGAAAAGTGGGTGTTAAATAGCTGTATATCTTACACTGCATGGCTAGCATCATAAGCTCTTGTTAAAGATTAACTACAAGTTAATATTGACAAAGGAGCGCTCACTTCTTGTTTCAATATAGGTTTAAAGCACCATGAATGAGAAAAATTTGACTTTACATGAATGACAAGTGACCTAGGCAGTTTGCCGGTCATCCAGCCAAACTATTCGGGGTAACAGCATCTCATTGTTTGACTGGGCATGTTGAGCCTTCCAGACACTTCAATTTTGGATTTCAACATGTGCCCTCTTTATGGTTACTTTTTCTTTACAGGTTGCTTTTCCTTCCCCAACATCTCCCTCGCTTAAAGCCTGGTACATCTGATATTTCCTAGCTTTGACAACAGTTTATTGATCTGAAAATGTTAATTGTTTCTCTCTCCACAGGTGCTCTCAGACCAGTTGAGTATTGGAGTACTTTCTACTGATTTCAAAGTTCTGTGTTGTGCCAACCAGCAGAGAAGCCAGGCCAGTTTGATGCCATGTTTCACAGCAATAAGCCAGTTTATATTCAAGTGTCTACAAAGTGACCAGGTAGCATCTATTCTATCAGGTGCAAATGAAGAATTAACGGTGGCGAGATTTAGCATTTTTTACTGCATACTGTTTATTTACATATTTTCTTTCAATAAACAAGCTTTTAATTCAGATCCTAAATAATCCACCAATTGTGCAATCAGCACAACTTTCAAGAAAGGGGGAAATCATGTGACAGCACGCAAAACTTTGCAGCTTCCCATGTAATGACCAGAGGTGTCACCTTAGTAAGGCTGTGCAGAAAAAGTAGTCAGGTACAGATGCTAAAGCAGAGAAATTATTTAACATTAAACATCACACTTGCACTACATCAAAAAAAAAGGCAATTTTAGTGGTATACAGCCAAGTTGCCAGAAAAACAGGAACAGCATTCAGCAAACATCAGCAATTTCAGCAGAAGGCAGAAAAACACACAGGCAGCACCCTAGGCCCAACCATCTTCAGTTCCTTCAAGGACCTTTCTTCCAGGAGGTCAAAAAAGTGAGAACATTCACTGATGACTAGAGCATTCAATTCTATTTGCAATCTCTCAGATACTGATGTAGTTTATATACTTTTATGCTACAGTACCTGGACAGAGGTCTAGCTCAAAAAAGTGGTAAATGTGCCATGGAATGACCGCCTCCAAGATAAAAATCTAAACATCTTCTTTTGATGTTCAATGACATTACCACTGCTGAACATCCCGGGAACTT